GGAGAGAATTAGATACTAAGTAACGGCTTCGACACAACACAAAAACACACAGACAAATATTTATATAAATACATACATGTATGTACGTAATATATATATATATATATATATATATATATATATATATACTAGGAAACCGGGCAAACTCCGTTTCACCACCAGATGGTTTCATTTTATGTAAGACTTCGTTTGGTGATTAAAAGATGAAGAAAAAAATGCCTGCTGTTGAAATTGAATAAAAATTTGAACAATACACGTGATTGATTTGATGGTTTCCAATTGAAATGTAAGGAAACGAATAACTTATTTTTTTTTTACTTTTTTGCACAATTTCACAGTGAACACAATGCCGATTTGTCACATGAAATTAACTGAGCAAAGAACAATGAGTAGCTCAAACAAATAAGTAGCAGTCAAACATGAAATATTTGTTTCAAGTACGAATACAAAATTGTCAAAATCGGTTCGTGCGTTCTAGAGTTATATCGTCAGGAAGCAAAACCCGACCTATTTTTATATATATAAACAGTGTATCACGATGTTGGTTTGCGATGGACGTCCGAACTACTGAATCGATTTTAAATTGATGGCTTATCTTGTGCATATATATCCAACTTAGTTTATAGGAAACTTTGAAAAGTAAATATAAAACATAAATATATGATTTTGGCATATGTTTACTAAAAAAAAAACAAAACACTAAAATGACAAATGTCAATATTTATGGAAAATTCGAGAAAAAAAGATTCGCATCCAACTTAGGTCATAGAAAAATTTGAAAAGTAAATTTAAAAAAAATATATATTTTTTACAGATATTTAATAAAAAAACAAAACACTAAAATGATAAATGTCAATATTTATGGAAAATTCGAGAAAAAAAGATTCGTATCCTACTTAGGTTATAGCAAACTATGAAAAGTAAATTTAAAACGTAAATATATATTTTTTAATAAAAAAAACAAAACACTAAAATGACAAATGTCAATATTTATGGAAAATTCGAGAAACAAAGATTCGTATCCTACTTAGGTTATAGCAAACTATGAAAAGTAAATTTAAAACGTAAATATATATTTTTTAATAAAAAAAACAAAACACTAAAATGACAAATGTCAATATTTATGGAAAATTCGAGAAAAAAAGATTCGTATCCAACTTAGGTCATAGGAAACTTTGAAAAGTAATTTTAAATCATAAAAATATAATTTTTACAGATATTTAATAAAAAAACAAAACACTAAAATGACAAATGTCAATGTTCATGGAAAATTCGAGAAAAAAAGATTCGTATCCAACTTAGGTCATAGTAAACTTTGAAAAGTAATTTTTCTTTTCTTTTTTTTTTTTTTTAATTTTTATTTTCAATAGCAATCAGAATACATGACTATTCTATGAGCTATTTTTGGCTTATGTCATTCACTCACACACATACACACACACTTGCACACACACATATAAATTTTTCGGATCAATATTACAATCATATTTAACCTCTATAATAGCCTGCATTAGGATGGGGTAAGAAGGACCAACTGAACCTTTACCCTGGCAAATGTATAAACTATAAAAAATAGTAACTAAAATGAAAACCAATTTTACAAGAAATAAATTAAATTAATAGTAAATTATTTATTTTTTATATGCTGATAAATATTTCAAACAAAACACCAGATCAAGGTTATATACAGTGGTATCTTTGTAAAAAATGTGCCCTTGAAATTTATATTTTGTATTGGTTGAATATTGTAGCTATTATTTCGTAAAATCTTTTTAAAATTAAAAATAAGACTTTGGATCTCTTTGACCCCTGACTGTCCCATTTTACGCCGGGGTAAAAATAGACAGATGACAAATTTTAGTAAATAAGTACATTTCTATTATTTGGAATAAATTGCAAATTTTACTGAACATAGTACGATAGTTGTTTGCTTGATACATGTTATGTGTAGTGATATAGTTCAGTTGGCTTAGACAATATAATTACTTGATGTCAAATTGGATCTTTGTGCCCCGCCCTGTCTTAATATGAAAGTAACTAATGTAAATCAACTATAATGACAATTCGAAATACTTGTATTAAAATCCTGTCTAGGTCCTACGTAAACGTAGCAAAAAAGTCCTGCCGACCACTAAATTAAGCGGAAAAACAAGCCCGCATACGTACATTCACACACGCCTCTCATATTAAAGTCTGGAGGGTTTTGCGAAATATTGTAAGTTACACAACTCTATGTTATTTATTTCGATTTAAAACCTTTTTGTCGGACATAACCGCCTCAATTACTATCGTGTTTTACTCTGCTACGCCAGACCACGTTTTTTTGGGGAAAGAATCGAAAATGGAGAGCTGGGAGAGGAATTGCTCGAAGATCGAAGAAAAATTTTATTGTTTTTCAAAAAAATTGTATGATACATAGTACTATTTTTTCTGCAAACACTTTTAAAACTAGTCGTATTATTGTTATTGCGAAAAATATGAATCTTAAGTTTAGCAATTTTGGTATGTAATCTAGAATGTTAAAAATTATTATAATAGAGACCAGAAAATACATTGTATTCTGTACAATGAACACATTGATAATAAATTTTTGTTTAAAAAAAATACTTGATTTTTTTTTACAAAATTACTTTCTACAATTTTAAAAATGTTTGGTCTTTCAGTTTCATTAAGCATAAACTAATAATTATATTTTTTATTTTCAGGTACGAAGTTACGGATCTGAATAAAGGCATTCTGCTTCAGGTAAGATTAATTTTTCTATACCTACTGTTACTTAAATTAATTACTAAAATTAAAGACCAAATTATCCAAAAAATCAACTTTTTTATATAAATAAAAAGCAGAAATATGACCATAGTCATTGGCTTTAAAATGACACCTTATTCTAGCGATCTGCCTTAGTTTGCACAATTAAATTTTACTGATGAACGAAATGAAATCTTACTTCATAAATTTTTTATTGTCATTCCATACCTAATTTTCCGAATTGACTATTTTCAATCATGTACTGAATTTACTGGATGGTATCAGGTTGTCTGTAGGAATTGGTCTTTAGGCAATGTTTTGTGGACAGAAGGCAAAACGATACCATGTACTTGATTGTGTCAGGTTTTCTGTAGCAATTGTTCTGTAAAAAATATTTGGTGGTCAGAAGGCAAAACGATACTAATGATATTCTTGATTGTATCAGGTTGACTACATCAATTGCTCTTTATCCAATATTTTGTGGTCACAAGAATGAACGATACTTAAAAATATCCTACTTATAAGATCAAAAACATATATATTGGTAAATATATCCTGAATATCCATTTTGAGATTTCTTTACCCCAGCTTGTCCACTATCCACCAGTCGACAAGGCCTACTGGCCACGGTTAATAAATACGCTGTTTTTTGCCGTTGGTCTCCGCATATTGGAAATTATTGTCTGGTTTCGTATATATATGTAGAATAAAGTTGTCTAGGGACTGTACCAAACCGTTCATTCGCTAAATTTCATGAAGAAATATGACGATAGTTGGAAAATGAACAGCGCGGGGAAAAAACGCCATTCGAAAAGTTTGTCGCTCGTAATCACGCTGGGTTGATGTAATAATCTGATGTGTCGGTTGTGGATAATTTTTGTGAAATGAACACGGTTAAATATTATTTTGCAAGTTATTTTTCATGATAATTATGAGGCATATTAAGGGGCACAACTAGTGTGAAATTTTCAAAAAACCGAATTTTCAATTTTTTCTATATTTCAATAGATTATACCTTTAAAAATAACATACCAAAATTTAAAATCGATATCTTAAATAGTTTTCGAGTCACAGCCATTTATTAAGTATATATATAGTATATATTATAACGATCATTTAATCTTTAAACGCGTTTTTCTCGAAACAGCATTTTCCGAATTTGCTGTAGCGATTACTCAAAAACAAATGATCCGATTACTATCGATTTTTTTTACATGTTCGGCTTTTCGTTGTAATTCGACTTTTTTTTAAAAAACGCTGTCATTTTGTCAATAATTGATTTTTTTTTCTTATCGTAGTTCATTTTACAGACAATATTATCTAGTTGACCGAGATTTTTTTTTTAAATTTCATCCACGTAGAAAACCGGAATCACTGCACCAGTGATGTGCCTTTTTTTGTCGCGCCGTTGAAGATCGATGATAACTTAAAAAAATATTTAATTTTTTTCTTCAAAAATTTTACTATGTATTCTTCAAACATGTGTAAATATATTCCTAAAATTTTGAAATGATTGATAAAGTAGTTTTTTTAATATAAATTTCCAACAATCACCTTTTTTTAGGCGGTTACACTAGTTGTGCACCTTAAGAAAAAATGTGTTTATTGAACTGTCAGTAACCGAGCACAATTATCATACTTACCACTTTTATCCATATTAATTACAATCTTGTAAATGGCAGGTATAAAGTTCTTTCATCTAAGGTGCAATTATATTTTCACATTCATTACTGTTTCACCTTTTATGCTATTTTTACTTTGAAACCTATTTTTGATAAATATTTTCAATTAATATCACTACTGCTTGATATCAGATTGATATAATCTACCATTTTATTAATAAGTATACATATGAGAAATATTTTTATATAATTTTATATTAGTAATAGAACTAAAAATATTTTCTAAGACAACTTGGTAAAATAATTTATCAATAGCCAAGTTTTCTATACATCATTGAAAATATATTTTTCAGAATATTTGATTATTTTCATATTATATTTATTTTCAGATTATTTGAATATTTTATTGTGGGAATCAAGGAGCCTTGGAATTAAATAAAAACAAATATTAATGTCGCGAAATAGTTGACGTCTAAAAATTTCGAATAGATAATCTGATACAAAACAGATCTATATTTGGCCTATAGCTGAAGTCGTAAAAAGCGCATTTAAAATTTAATAAAGTAATTCTAATTCGAAAGATTACTAAGTAGTACATAAATTTAAATTTTAATGAAAACAGAATCAAAAATGTCCTCTGCGTCGGATTATCGGAAAGAAGTATCTGTGTCTACAGTTAGGCAGCGCAGCTTATTCACGGCAAATGCATTCGCACCGGGTGAAGTATATCGTCCAGCTTTACACCATGCTGAAGAACCTTCATCCACATCAAATTTCGTGAAATGTTACGAAGTCCCCACCCACGGTATTGGCGGCGAAGGATTGTATGCAGCAGCCGCAATGTGCTCCTCATCTGCAGCAGCTGCGTCCGTGTCTTCAGCAACATCCCTGACGGCGGCAACATCTTCCTTCACGAGCCTGCAGCCTCTATGGCAAACACCAGTGGCGAGAGCAGGAAAGTGCCCGACGGGATTATATCCAGGTGATGATTTATATCCTTATTATGAAAAGAAAGAGCCATCGTGGCGTGACCCAATCTCCGAAGTTGCTCTTGAAAGCAACTCGCCGCCCTTGGGGTTGCCCAACGCGCAACCATCCATAGCTTTGACAGGTGGAGCAACCGCCACTCCTCACGGAACGATTTCTGTTAGATTGCGCGAAAGGATCAGGGTGGACTTGACCATCGACAAGGCAGTTCGCGTCATCAATTTCAAGAACAACATTGTTCTGAGCCTTGCTGGAACTGGTTCGGCCGCCGCCTTAATGCACCCTAATGGCAGAGTCTACCAGTACGGGTCCAGGGTAGAAATTTTGGCACATGATGTGCACAATAGTAATAACCGATACGCGAAAATGTGGCACAAAGGCGTGAGTTTTACAAGCGACCAGTGCGCATTAGTCTACTTAGTCGACGCCGCCGGAACGCGAACAACTACTGATTCCTTCACGGATATGACCCAAGATTTCTCTCTGAGCGTCTTTTATAATGAATCACGTCATGGACCCCAGTATTTCCAGGAAGCTCTAGGGCTGCTCCAGGGTTCTGAATATTGGTACACGGACGATGGCACCGATAACTACGTTATTAATAACGTTCGAATTTCTCAAACTCTAGATGGCTTGGTAAGGATTCGCAGAAACTGCAACAAGTGTATGATTCGCACAAGTCCATCTAACGGATCGGCCACATTAACGACACCTTTCATGCATTGCACGGCTTCTATGGGGCACACGTCGCATTTATTCGTCAGACGCGGAGAACGAAGGATGCACTTCGACGGGAAATCGTTTATTGTGCGAAATGCTGGACATTCTGCAGGTTTCGATGAGAAGAATATGCTGAAAGTCTATTAAATGACACCCCATACAAACAGCATTTTTTCATTTATTTTGATACTTTCCGTCTTTAAACACACAGGCACACGACATCGAACACAAGTCAGCCAGCTGGTGACTGAATAATCTTCAATGAGAATACTCAAGAACATGAATGAAGATTTACACAAAGAACACGCACATCTGATAAATTCCAGTTAAGTTTTTACAAATTTTAAGATTTTTAAGCTCATGGATTATGGCTACGTATGATAAAAGTGATTACAAAATTTTTTGACTGATGTCAATGAATATTGTAGAAGTATTTGTGCATGAAAGTAGAATTCGAAAATTTATGGAATATTCACATGCAAGCAAATGCAACAATGTTCGATATCTTTAGTCCCGCGGATTTAAATAAATTGCTAATGGCGTTCAAAATTCTAATGTCTAAAAACTCTGAATGTTTAATCTTAATGTTCGTGATAAATATATTATATTATCTATTATCATATATGTATAATCAATATATTAAATAAAAATATATAAAAAATATTTCTGTGTTTTATAAAAATGTATTAAAATATATCATTATCAAAACTATTCAAAATTTCATGACATGAATATTTGTTTCTATCTAATTAATAATCTTCTTGCTTCCCGCATTATCAATAATTGTCTTTTGAAATTTATTTGCTTTTGATAGATTTTTTAAACATTATTAAATTCTTAAATAAATGTACTTAGTGTTATTATAGTTAAGCCATTTTTTTAATTAAGCCCTTTAACGTTTATACAAATATTTTCGTCAAATATATATGTTTTATTTTTACTGAATTCATATCTATTAAATTACATTTTATCGTTTATTAAATGAATAGAAATAATCAAATTTGTGGAATACTATAACTCAAAACCAGAACGTTTTTTTACTTTTTCATGTGAGTAGATCTTACAATTATGTATGTATACATTCATCTTTATTATTTAATTTGTGTTAACTAAAAAAAGTTCACGTATTAGTTTATTACTTAATACGTATCAATATAGCATTATTATTATAACAATACAGATTTTATTGGAAATATTTTAGGTTTAATTTTTGTTTTTCTTTGTAACTATTATATTCTTACACATTTTTTTTTCACTCGAATATAATGTCTAATTCTAAATTTAACTCAGTTTCAATTTTAAACTTAATGTAGTTCAAACAAGTTTTTTTTATTATTTTAATAAATTTTATATCATAATTATTAGCTAGGTTTATATATAAATATTAGCTAGGTTTCTATTATTTGTGTGGGATAAATAAATTTAATTTAATATATCTAATATGGCATGTGTGCCAAATTGGATTTCCAGCAAAATAATGCCGATTGTCGAAAGCTTTCAAATTAAAACTTTTATATGTTTCTATAATATTGACGATTATTTGAGTTTTCACATAATGAAACTGTTCTCATAATTTTAAAACGTATTTGGAAAATTAAATAGTCTTTTTTGTAGGAATAGATTAGACTTGAATATGGGTAATTTAATATGAAGTTTATTTATTTCTTCAATAATAAATTATACTATTAATTTAAATTGATTGAAAGTACTTGTATCAAATTATAATTATGATATTATGTATTATATCACATTATTTATCAATCAGTCAAATTATGGACTATTTAGATATACATATACTGAAATATTACGGCCTTATCACATGTAGTTTAATTTAAAAAATTCAAAGTTTGAGAAAATGAGTAGTTGTTTTTGACGCTTGTTAAAATTAACCTTTAATTAGACGATTTACTTAGTATAACGATAGTTTTTTTGACGCTTGTTAAAATTAACCCTTAATTAGACTATTACTTAGTATAACGATAGAGTTTTTGGTCTTACTAAACATGCTAAACCATTAACTTTAATTAAATTAATTAATTAAAGTCCTACGGAAACTGGTTCAATTATAAAAATGATTGATTTTTGAAAATTTGCTTCTAGAAAATACTACGAGTTATCGTGTTCGTTTGTTTTCAATTATGTGTAATAAATCCACTCGGAATACTCTTAATCACTCATAAATTAATTTATTTTTTATTGATTAAGTCGATTATTTACATATATCGAAAAGTTCATGTAACTTGCCTCAAGGCAAAATACAAATACCAACTAGTTATTTGAATTTTATTGATTTGATAATGTTTGACACATCACATAACAAAAGCGACTTTTGACACAAATGACTATAATATTTTTTCAAAATTTGATGAAATTTTTAGATTAAACTACTTGCTGTAGACAAGTAAAACTTCAGTATGTTGTTTAGGACCATGATATCTATTAATATAAGAAGTTTTATCAAAGAATTTTTTTTCAATAGTTAATTACGATGAAACGGCTCGGTAGATTTTTACTTAATGAAGTTTTAAAAATTCAGAAGTGCGGGCTAAAACGTGTACAAAAAAAAATTAACTATACTGCTATTAACAAAGAAACGGCTTGGCTGAGCATCGCACAAAATTGATAAACGCTACTCTTCATCGAGACACATAAAATGGCTTTTAAATTTTTTCAACCGGTCCAGCCGTTTTTGAGAAAACGTCGATTTACGGCAAAAAATCTGTTCACACACACGTACTTTTCTCAAATTTGGTCTCATGCGATTCAGGATGACTTGATACGTCGAAAAAACATAAAATTAGCAGGTCGGATTTTTTGATGAAAACAAACTTCTCCTTCGGGAAGTTCAGTATTATAATAATGTTGACAAAAATCTGCAATAATATTAGTTGCCACAAATAAATTTTTATATAATAAATTTCCTCAATCCAAATAGGTTACAGTAATTTTTTTTAATGATGTCAACATTTATTTAACAAATAGCTCTTTTTGCACGGTAAAATTTTCTCTTTGCGAAGCGAGCGTTCGCTTTTGCTTATAAAGGAAAAAGACATTCATATCTATTTTTCTCTAATTAGTGCTTTATTCCCTAAAGCGACCCGAAATTATAAATACATTATTATGCATATTTATGCGAATATTTGCACAAGTTAATAAATCGAGGTTGAAAAAAGTTCAAATGAAATATTTGTGCAGTATAAATTTGTAGGATGGAAATGTTATTATATTTAATAATTATAATTCATACATTAATATATGTTAATGTTAATTTAAATTGATTGCAAGTACTAGTTTTGAATAAATCATATTATTGACTATATAATTATAAATACATGTATAATTTTATTCAATTTGGAAATATTGAGAATGCTCTTCATTTGTCTGTAGTATAAACATTGAATAAAGCTAATTTCAAAATTAATTATTATTATATATGTATATCTAAATAGTCCATAATATGACTGATTGATAAATAATATGATATAATAAATAATATCATATATAATTTAATACCAGTACTACTCATCAATAAATTTGAATAATTAATAAAGTTTATTAATAAATAAATGAATAAACTAAATATATATTTGTCCACAATCAAATATAAACTATTCTAACAATTTTTTTTTCAAAACATTTTAATATTATCACAAACTATATAATTATGTGAAAACTCACATAATCGTCAAAAAAAGTTCCATAAAAATTGGCTTAATTTTTAACTTCCCGTAGGGTAAGTTATAGTAATCGCAAAAAAATCGAAAATGAAAATTTTTATATATCTTTACGTTTCAGAGGTTTCTGAACATTTTGGCATACCTTAGAAAAAATGGATGTATGTGTGTGTGTGTGTGTGTGTGTATGTGTGTGTGTGTGTGTGTGTGTGTATGTATGTATGTATGTGTGTGTATGTATGTGCGGATACAAATTTTCGTCGACGATTTCGGGAACACGGATCAACCGATTTGAATAAATCAAAAAACATTCGATTCGTATTGATAAGGAGACGTGCTGATTAGTTTTTGGCGAAGGCAGGTCTAGCCGTTCCGGAGATACGGGGCAAAAAGTGCCGAAAACGGTAACTCAGGTTTTAAGAGAACGGAGCGTCCGATTTTAATAATTCAAAAAACATTTTACTTGTATTGACAAGATAAAAAATTGATCAAATTTTCATAAAGGCAGGTCTAGCGGTTTCGGAGATCTAACGAAAAAAGTAAAAAAAAATGCCATTTGGCGGTCAAAAATGATCATTAGACATATGCACATCAAATTTTCAGATATTTTATAGAGATTTTAACAATAAGTTTAAATTTTGTTTATTTTTCTATAGGTTCCGTACCAATGTTTACCCGTTAGACAGCGACGCCGCGCTTACGCGCTTTATATTTTGTCTCTATGCAGTTAAAGCAGTACGATTGCTTTGAAAAACAAGTTCAGATCTTCCAAAATATGTCAAAATAAAGAAAACATTTTTTTTTCAAAAAAAAAAAAATTAAAAAAATTTTTTTTTTTAAAAAAAATTTAAAAAAAAAATTATTTTTTTTTCAAAAAAAAGTAATTTTTTGTCCAATTTATAGTTTCTCAAAAATCTTATTTTTTCGAAGTAAATTTTTTTCAAAAATGTTAATCGTTTTTAAAAAAAATAATAATTTTTGGTACGGGAAGTTTCAGCAATTTGCCTTAAGGCACGATGCCCTAATTGCCTTAAGACAGAATTCCACTTACAGCTAGTTTTTTCAACAGTTAATCACAAGAAAACGGCTCGGTAGATTTTCACCTAAAACTAAATAGTATCATTCTCATCTAATATCTTTCGAACAGTTTTTGATTTTTCAAAATCGATTTGGTAGTATGAGCTTAATGTGGACGAAACGTTTAACACTTTTTTCCAAATGACAAAAAAACGGCGTGGCAGATCGTTCCACAAAACTGACAAACGATAGTCAACATTGAGATACATCAAATGGCCGTAATATTTTAGTTTGATCTAGAAGACTATGGTATCGATTGTCAAAAAAATAATAATAAAAATCGTGGAAAAAATTTTTTTTAACACTTTATTACAAGAAAACGGCCCGGATGATCTCAACCAAAAACTAATCAGCACGCTTCTCAACCAATATCTTTCAAACGGTTTTTGAATTTTCATAATCGATTCAGAATTGCGGGCTAAAACGTGGACGAAAATTTTTTCACTGTTCTACGATTTACAAAGAAACGGCTCGGCCGATCGTAGCGTAAAACTGAAAAACGATAGTTCTCATGGAGATACATCGAATGGCTTTTAAATTGTTGAAACCGGTCCAGCCGTTTTTTGAGAACGTCGATTTACGGCAAAACATCTGATCACACACACACACATACTTTTTCTAAATTTGGTCTCATTCGATTAAGAATGGCTTGAAACGTCGAGAAAACATAAAATTAGCGAATCGGATTTTTTGATGGAAACATAAACTTCTCCTTCGGGGAGTTAAAGCTAAAATTTTAAGGCATGCAAGCACGTATAATT